CGTAATCCGGAGCCGAAACCAATTTTTCCGCGATGCCTGGTTACCGTTCCCGTTAAACATCCGAAATATAAACAGAGCGGAACATTTTATTTATTACTATGATATTATATTACGACAATATTTTGTGCCCTTTGTAGAATTTCGTAAATTTAATATCACGAAAAGTTGACTCATCAACGTGATCAGGACACCATGGCAACGCTCCGAATTTTTCCGAACTTTTCCGAATCTCTTGAGATTCGGCTACTTTTCCGAATCTTTCCGAATCTTCAGATTCGGCTCCGAATCTCGATTCGGATAAAGATTCGTCCCATCACTAGACTAAACTGACTAAACGGTAATATAAAATACTGAAGCACAGGGAGCTACTCGCAAGAGCTCCCTCCCATAGTTGCCTGTGTCAGGCAATCGACGCACTTACGTCCAGCGGCGTCATTTCGCAGAAATATACAGAAACAAAATTGTGAAGCCGACTGTTAAACTCTGCGGCATCCTCGTAAATGGTAAACACTCAGAAAACGCAAAATATGTGGGCAGAATAACCGAACGAACACAACCTGCTGAACGCGTTGCCATTGAAAAACATGTAAACAAAACCCGAACCGGAAAAGATTTCTGCCCACTGTCATGGCGACCGGAAGTGCCCGGAATGCCATGTATAGTAAGGGTGCAGGCGAGCTGGTGGATATTAACCATATTAACCATGTTGAATATACCTGAGACTGGGGTAGAAAAACATAAAAGTCGAAGAAACAGAACGGGACAGGACGACGTCTCAAAAAGACGTCGTCCTGTCCCGTTCTGTTTCTTCGACTTTTATGTTTTTCTACCCCAGTCTACACAGAAATCGTCTGCTTCAAACGCCATTGCCTTGGAAATTGCATTCTCAAAATTTTCACACGCATCCAATATTATCGAAACTTTGATAAAGTGTTTAGTGCTTTACTAACTTCACGATAGACTAGTTTCGAAAAGTGTCAAGTCGGCGTTTATTTTTTAATCAGCCGTGTCGAGTCGGTCTCCATGTATTCTCCCATAGGGCGGGCCGCCTCCTGGAACCCTGAGTATCACGTGACTCACGCCGAGCCGCTCTGTCGGTCATGTTGTCGGCGAAACGCGCGGATCAAAGGATTGCATTGCGCTACTTAGGGAGGCTCAAGTGAGGGTGGGTGCAACTGCTAGATCGGCGATCACGGGACATGGACGCCATTTAATTGCTAAATTTTGCTGGGAGTCTATGGGGCAAAGGGTCGTTTTCTTTCCTAACTCGGGTCATTAAAGCCCATTAAGGTGCTTGAATAATTTACACAAGGTATAAATGATTACTTTTCCATAGCCACCAGTTTTGTTGCGATAGGTTAAGTATTTTTTTTAACGCGAAAAATGGTAAATTCCGCCATCTTGGATGTTGCTGCTTGTCTGGCAACTTCGCTTTCTCCGCTCGACGTTTGCAATTCTCGGAGCGAGAAGGAAGCGAGAGAGGCTGCGCCAAGGCGCTCGTTGCTTGCAATGGGAGGCGAGAGGAGGAAAGGCGCATGGAGCAACAGAGTTGCAACAGAGCGGGCGCCTGCTCTCGTGCAGGCAACACTGGCGCATATCCTTTCTCGAATCCTCTCCCTCAGGCGCCGCCATTAAATTGCAAACGCTCTCCAGGTTTTGAGTTGCGCCCACCCTCACTACACGAGCGTTTCGCCGCAGTAAGGTTGCAACGCCTATTGGCTGACAGAAAAAGCAAAAACAAGCAAAACAACACAAACCGGAAGTGACGAAAATTTTTGTTTTGTTTGTTTTTGCTTCTTCCAATTTTACTTTTTGTTTTTACTTTTCGTTTCTCCAAGTGTTTGTTGGGCGCTTTTCGGAGCGGTCGCGTTGGTTCCATATGAGTGGTTCCAGCGGTCTTTCTTGTATTATACATTGTCGTGTTATGTGCCGCGGTATTGCCGAGTGGAGTTGGTCGTGATATTCAATGCTTGGGAACGAGCGTCGGCAGTGAAGTTCACAGCGCATTCATGCAAGCCAGCAACAGGCCCCGTCTCGCCACATGGAGCCCCGTGGGACGCTTGTTCGGAAAGTAAAAGGTGAGTGGAATTTACCTACTGGTGGCGTTCGATCGTCGATTCGACACCGCTGTGGTGGAATTTGATAGCGCTTGGCTACCTCACGTAGCGTCGGGGACAAAGAAGAAGATAATGGAGATAATCAACGGGAGTGGCATGTGGCTCCCAAGTGCCGCCTGCGCCGCATTTGCATGTTGGGAATGTCAGCTTTTGGCGAGCTCGTGCAGTCACAAAAGCGCTCTGTCGAAAGACGGGATTTACAAACAGATCAGGCTTCGCGAATGGCCCTCACGGCGCGTTGAATTTGTGGCGGGTACATATGTTGCTGTTCGTCCTGGTAGGCCTGCGATGGTGTTTTCTGCACAAATACCGTATTCTGCCTCGTGGTACATTCACACCTGCCGCAGAACTGCTAAGCGATTCTGCTACAGGTTAATGGCGAAGAGTTGTGCTCTTCCATAGTGTGCATGTTAAAGTGACAACAAATAAGTGCCTCTCTGTTCTACTTCTCCTTTGGTATTCAACTGGTTGTATTTTCTACTACATTTTGTTCAGAAAGCCACTGCGAGACAGGCATTATTGATGTATACTATCCAAAATAATGCTTGAGCATGAGATGAGGTAACAGAAATACTTCAATATGTGCCTGCTTTTTGTGTTTTTGCAAGACAAGGTAACAGAAATACTTCTTTATGTGCCTGCTTTTTATGTTTTTGCAATTCACCGGCTAGACCACTCTTCTCATGGTTATTGTTTTGTTGGGTGCAAAATTTTCCACCCCAGGTGTCCGATGCTTGCGGCTGATGGCTTCTACCTACGTGCACCAAACAGTGGGCCTGCACCTTCGCCGAGACAGCGGTAATACAGTTCTGGGTAACTGCAGCGACTGGGTCACCGATGCCGTTCCACTTCCTGCACTGCACTCCGCATGGGTCAAAGGGCCAGCGCATGCCTTTTATGCGTTGTCGCCACCATAGTGAGTATGGCTTGGAGTCACGTCATTCGAGTGAAATGCTTGTCACCTGAGTGACGTCAGTTGGGGGGGGGGGGGGGGGGGGCACCGCCGCCGCCGTTGGTGCGGTTATGACCGGTGGTCTGCGATCATAGATCACCAAGCACCATTGCACTGTTCCTGGATGAACTAGCCGCTCTTGAGGAAGAACAGGGTGCTTTGGGAAGAGCTATGGTGTCCGCTTTTTCACTAGCTCCAGCTGTCGCCACAGACATTTTGTCGAAAGGAGCAACATCTATGAATGAGTAGACGGTGCTGAATGGCCGCAAGGGGCCTCGCTTCTGACCGAGGGGGTCAAAATAGTCCCGTTTTAACAGAGGTACCTCTTGGGGTATTGTACAACACAGGAAATAAAGGGCCCGAAAGTTTTCTACCTCGACAAGGTGTGGGTTATGGCAGAACCAATGCGGCTTTGTTCCGTGGACACCTTCATGTGTGGTGGCACAAGGCAGTGATTGCTTAACCTTGCTTAAAGGGAAACTCCACTTCATTTTCTGCTGTGAGAAAACAATGCAACTCTCTTTATTATTATCTAGAGAGACCGCATGTCAAGTATTAGAAAGTAATACAATCTAAAAGACCGTTAAACCGGCCAACAAAGACTATGATGCCCGAAGACACCAAAATCCGCTAATTTAGCGGGCGACGTGCTGCGCAGCAAACAATGCATTTCCGTTTCCGTTGCTGACGTCTGTTACATACGTTTTGTTTTCTTGGTATTTTCTTTTCTAAGGAGCGCCGCCGCCGCTACCGGCGCTACCGGCGCGCTGCGCTGCCTCGGCTCTGGCTTCGGCCCACTGGCTCGCTCTGGCTCCTCTGGCTCGGCGCGGGCAGGCGGGCAGGCAGAGACCAGAGAGCCGCGTGCCTTTTTTACAGTTTGCGCCGTGGTGTGTGCGGTTTTGACTGTCTCCGATGCCTGGCGCCTAGGTGTGATGGCCGGTAAAGGGCGGAAAGGCAGGGGCACGCGATGTTGTGTCGCCGCCTCTTCTCGCTGCCAGCTGAGCAGCCCGGGAGTTATTTTCCATTCGCTTCCTGCGGACACTGAACGTCGGAAACTGTGGACGGACGCCGTGCACCGATCGGGTTGTGAGAAGCCCCTGTCGTCGACGGCCCGGTTATTAATCTGCTCCGACCATTTCTTGCCGGAGTGCTATGAGCGAGATTTGCGTTTATTAGCGGACACTGGCTTCTCGACAAAGTACGCGAAGATGAAGACAGACGCCGTGCCGTCCATCTTCCCTGGCAGAGCACCTTCCGAAGACAGCTCATGCGTGAAACGTCGTCGGACCCGAGTACGTACATTCGTCGGTTACTTAGTGTGTACTCAGTGCTCTCGAAAGCGCCAACACGTTGCATCGTTTCAGCAGAGTGCGAGAGATGACTGCGCGCATTGCCGCACTGCGCGCATTGCCGGCAAGATTGGAAGCGCAGCTCGCTTTTCATCTCTGGCTTCGCTCGCACTTCCGCTGAAACCGCACCGTTTGGCATGCGTTTTTACCTGTTCTATAAAAACCATCCGCGCTATAATCAGGAAACAGTGAATATCCTCTTGTGAAACAGCTGTGGAGTTTCAAAATGAGCTATATGGAGAAACTAAAACGGCCAAGTTTTGCTAAAACTGATTGTTTTTAAATGTAAGGAAACTAAAGTGGGTAGGTTATACCAGCAATACCACTGTAGTACATGAGGCAACAGGCCCAAGGCTAATCTGTTGAGCAAACAATCGCTTTTGCCTCGTTTTCTCTTGAGGTACATTTGAGTCATGAAAACAACAAAAATAACTCCGCACTTGAAACCAAACAAAATATGGTTTTCAAAATCCAGTTTTACGAAATTTCTTTTATCAAGTAAGGGATCTACAGGAATTCTCAATAGTTTTATGGCTAAAAAGTTCACACAGAAAATGCATTGAATTAGTGCTGCCTATGTTGAAGTTTATTTGAACTGCTTCTGCACTTCCTATAAAGCAGGCTTTTATAGGATTTTGAGTTTCATGGCCAAATGAAGAGTACTAAATATTGTTTGATTGCGTTCACAGAGTGGAGACCAAGATACAGCTGGGCAACTCAGCAGCACAACCTTGGCACATGATGGTTTGCTGGCAGGCACTACACTGGACGACGCCTCTGACAGAGGCCCAGAAGCGCTGTCGTCGCAAAGTGAACCTGCTAGCCTCCACCTGGATCCACTTGGTGTAGAATGCCCAATCCCAGTATGTATTTTGGCCTACATTGTTAGTGGTGTTTGGTGTGCCTGCAGATGCTATCACTTGGTGCACCACTTTTACAGGAAAGAGACCGAGCATGCAAGAGCAGCATATTGGCCACGGCAAGGGAAACTCTGCATTTGGATGTGTCGCCCAATGCCTCCGAAAAAGACAGAGACCATGAGGCATCACATACTGGACCTTCTGTCATCCAAGTGGATCCAGCTAGTGCAGAATGCCCAATCTCAGTATGTATTTTGACCTACATTGTAATGTGCTGTTTGGTGTGCCTGCTATCACTTGGTTCACCACTCTTACAGGAAAGGGACCGCACATGGAAGAACAGCACGTTATCCACAGCAAGGGAAACTTTGCATTTGGATGCGTCGCCCAGTGATGCCTCCGAAAAAGACGGAGCCCACGAGGCGTTGCACAGTGGACCTTCTGTCGTCCGAGTGGATCCAGCTAGAGCAGAATGCCCACTCCCAGTATGTATTTCTGCCTATATTGTTACGTGCTGTGTTTGGTGTGCCTGCAGATGCTATCACTTGGTGCACCACTCTTACAGGAAAGGGACCGAGCCACTTCAGTGGTGTCGCAGGTTGCAAGCTCGAGTGAACTTACGTGCGTGTATGTCATCCGGCCACCCACATGCAGTACATGGAGCCAGACATGTTCAAAAAGGCTAATAAAAGGTGCCTGCACAGTAAGAATTTTGAAGAATGTATCCTAAATATCACGATTTTCATGTTCCAGGTACACAGACGCCAAAGTCTTGGTATGTCAGCAAAGGCATACAAACAGAAAAACCTTCGCAAACATCGGTTGAAATTCAGGCGTCGACCACATCCTCCGGTATGTGATGCAGTGTCTTTACATAGGCTTACATTTGAGAGAAGAGATCATAACTGAATTTCATTTGCAATGCACTTTTGTTGCAGATGCATTGCACAGCTGTGTTCGTCCCGAGGACGAGTCCGTTTCGGAGGTGACAGGCCCAAGTCCCCTGGGAGATGAGACCGGTGCCCCAGGACATCTACAAGCAGCAGAAGGAACTCAGGGTGAGCACTTACACGAAATTGGAACAAAACAATGAATAACTGTCTCTATGCTTATTCCTACTGTGTAGCAGAAGCAACCTTCGCACAACACGAGCAGCCACTTCAGCGGTGCTCTACGCCTATTAGTGGCACAGTCCCCAGCTCTTTGGACTTGGACGGCACTCCTCAGACTTCGCAGCCCGACACCGATCCTGTGGACATGAGCGACGAGGAGAGCGACTCTGAGGACATGTACAGCGATGCCCTGGACACCAGCTATCGGCCAAATGATTCGATCGACTCCGATGAGGAACTGGATTCTCCAGAAACCAGTCCCTGGAACGACTCCGTGACCTCGGATGATGAAGGACCTGATGCGTATGTGCTCACTGTACCTTCTTGAAACCATAATTTTATGCTACAAATAGGATATAGCTTTGATGTTCTGGATTTCGAGTGTTAAGTCCTAAATGATCACCTAACACAGGGGCTTCAGAAGTATATCTGATGCGTGGGGGCAACATCCGGGGGCTCATGTTGCATCGTGTAGTTCACCTCTCTCTCTCTCTTTATATATATACCGGGTGATTCAAGGAGACGGCAGGCTCTTTAAATCGACCGGAAAATTCGGTTTCCTAACCTATCGCGCTACGACTTTGTGCAGCGTTGCCCACAGATGGTGCATTTTTTTTGTAAAATTTGCGAAGAGCGAACTTACCTGAGGAAAAAGTAAAGAAAGAAAAAGGCTTAGCTCCTATGGAAACGCAGCGACGCCACCGGTCTTCAAACAGCACGGTGCCGTTTCGCACAGGACACAAGAGATGACGCAACGAACGAGCGTACGGCGCCGAGAGCTGGCCTCTTTAGCAGACAATCTTTTCGACTCAAAAGCGGCGCGCGTTCCGCGGGCGGCGACAGTCGCAAAAACAAAAACAGGTGTGGTAACAACAGGGAACTGCACTGCAGTTCCTTGTCTGCTAAATATGCCGGCTCTCGGCGTCGTCTGCTCGTTCGTTGGCGGCAGTTGGCGTCGCGACCGTTTGCGCCATCTCTTGTGTCCCGTGCGAAATGGCGCCGTGTTGTTTGAAGACCGGTGGCGTCGCTACGTTTCCAGCCTTTTTCTTTCTTTACTTTTTCCTCAGGTAAGTTCGCTCTTTGCAAATTTCAGAAATACAATGCACCATCTGTGGGCAACGCTCCACAAAGTCGTAGCGCGATAGGTTAGGAAACCGAATTTTCCGGTCGATTTAAAGAACCTGCCGTCTCCTTGAATCACCCGGTATATCAACAGCAACTGACGAAGCACAGTGCAGAAAAATGAAGGCTGCAGTCTGATAGAATCTTTGGAGATTGATTAGTGAGAACGCACATATTGGACAAACAATGAATGACAACTTCAAACAAACGGATTAACAAGGCTTCCAAAGAAAGAATACATGTCACCAACTACTGATTAGCTTGTGGCACCTCGTCATCTATGGAGTGCAGCCTGCTTCAACAGCCTTACGGGTGGTGAGAGGGGGGGGGGGGGGGGTCGGAACAGCTTTTAGGGTGGGGGCATGCCCCCTGTGGTGTAGAACCTGTGGGGCAACTGTCCCCCTGGTTCCGGAGCCCCTGACCTAACAACGAGCGAAAGCGTAGAGGAAATGGAAAAAACACAGCTTCTGAAGCAAGTTTTAAATGCACTGCTTGTTTTGTTTTGCAGAGAGTGCAGCACCTCTGCCACGACCACCAACCCCGTGAAAGAAAGGAAGTTCATCGTCTGCGCTTCAATGCTCCTACAGTTGTTTTCGGTCTGTAGGGAATGCTTGGCTCCTACACATACAAGTTTGAAGGAACGGGGGACCTTGCTGCATGCCGTGACTGTGTGTGTAAGGGGCCACAAGACTGTCTGGGAAAGCCAGCCCAGGATTAATGGGAAGGCATTGATGAATCTTCTCCTACCCGCCGCCATTACATTCTCTGGGGCCAGTCCTACACGAGTTATTCGTCTCCTGAGCTCTGTAGGTGTTGCCGTTCTTCAAAAGAGCCAACTCTTCCTGATTCAAGGCTGTCTGGTGTTCCCTGCCGCTGCAAAGGTGAGTACACCTGCCTAGAGAATTGTTGGTTAAACATGTATCTCTTTGTGTTGAGATTGATGTTATATTTCTGTATTTCAAAGGTATGGAAAGAAGAGCAGACCACCCTCCTTACAGCGATGCGTGGCAGCAAGCTTCACCTGGCAGGCGACGGCCGTGCCGATTCTCCCGGCTACTCGGCGAAGTATGGCACGTACACGCTGCTGGAAACAAACATCAACAAAATCCTACACTTCGAGGTTATCCAGGTAAGAACTGGCTAAGTAGAAAATTGCCTACTTCAATTGAGTTATTTATCTTGTTACCTTTCGTTTATAACTAAGTAGAATATTTGTTTGGGTATTGTTTATGTAGAGTTGTGCGAATATTTGAATAGTAGTTTCGAAAGATACGATATTCGCTTCGACATGAACTGGACTATTCGCGTTTTTCGAAGTCTTGATTGCGGCGGGTTAGCTCCGTTGAGTGCACTTCTTACCGAGCATCAGTGCACTAGCAATGCCCGCGGAAGCGAGCTCCGCAAGTAACGCTTCTCTGCATTGCATCTGTGCTCGGTAAGAAGCGCACTCAACGGGGTAACCTGCCGCAATAAAGACTTGGAAAAGTATAAATATCGCAATTGCGTGCTTGGAAGAAAAGCATACATCAAAGCGGGATGGTGCACGCGTGCCGGCTGTATTTGAAAATAAATGGAAAATTTGTGAATGTGTATATCTACATTGTAGAAAAATTTCAAAATTAAACAGACTGTTATGCAAGATTATAATATGTTAGGCAAAGATGCCCTTACAATCTGCATTCAGCATGCGCGATTCAGTATTTTTAACCCGAGATTAACGAAAGAACATTTTATATAGCAAGATTTGTAAATTCACTCAATTGGGTATAGTTGGCCATCTCTATAGGATTCATTTTATGTCAAATCCGTCGTTTACTTGACATCCCCAGACATCAGACCTTCCGAGGTCACAGTTCATAAATATAGATAAATTAAACTCAGCTTTTAAATGAACAAGTGTTCTATATTTTGTTACCTTTTCTTTTTACATCAGTCAACAGAAGTCAAGTCCAGCAACAACATGGAAACCGAGGGCCTCAAACGTTCCTTCGACCATCTCCAGGGCTGGGGGTTCTGCCCGCATGTGCTCGTCACGGACCGCCACTTTGGGGTGAACGCCCTGATGAAGAGCAACTACCCCAACACCAAGCACCGTTTCGATGCATGGCATGTTGCCAAAGGTAACATTATCTTACCAAACGGATTACGTAGTACAAGTGATGCTGAACTTAGTTTTTAGTTAGCTTGGTGCTGCCATTTGTTTTAGTCTGTTGAACATATATGTATATTGTCATTCAAAATGCATTGTTACTCTGCTTGCCATGCACACACCTTTTCTAATTTTAAGGCATCGGGAGCAAGCTGGCCCTCGCGGGGAAAACAAAGCGCAACAGCCTGCTAAACAAGTGGGTCAAGACTGTCCGGGCACACGTTTACTGGTGTGCCCAAACCAGTGATGACAATGGTGCACTGGTGCTGGCCAAGTGGATGTCCTTGATGCGCCATGTGGACAATGTGCACCAGCATCCCGACCCGCTCTACCCTGCTTGCACGCATGCCCCAATCGTTGAAGAACGCTGGTGGCTTCATAAGGGTAATGTTGACATATACCAGGGAATTTACAGTGTGCATCATCCTTACCATTTCACCTGGTGCTGTTTCTAACTGCAGGAACTGAGCCGTACGACGCCCTCGAAAAGGTGGTAATGTCACGACAGCTGCTGAAGGACATCCCTAAGCTGTCTGGAGATGGCCAGACGTACCGGCTCGAGTCCTTTCACAGCCTGCTGCTACGATTTACCCCGAAGTCGAGCCACTTCAGTCTGGAGGGCATGGAGGCACGGTAGGTTGAGATTTTGAAGTATTCTAGGGCAACGAGGTTCCCTTTTATGTTTGTAGAATGGTGAAATATGCTAAGGACATATTCTGCCTATTTTGCGTGGCCTTCACAGGACTGCCATTGCTGTCCTTCATTACAACGCCAACTCGGACCGAAAGCAGGCCACAACCAAGGATGGCAAGGACTGCTTTGTCCTGAAATTCCCTAAGGCGAGGAAAGGCGAGTGGGTCGTCAACCGAAAAATGGAGCCTGCGTCCTACGGTAAATGCAAACGTTTTTATTGACACAATGTATGTGACTTAATTCTTATCATTCTTGACCTAGACTACACCCAGAAGCTGTTCGGCTGCTTCCTGGAGCTGGCAGAGGGAGTCCGGACCTACCAGGAGGCCCAGGCCACCTACGTTCCCCGCTCACGAGGGAAGTCTCTGTGCAGCGTTTCCCAGAGGCCAAACAAGGAAGCCGCCGTCCTGGCCCACAGGTCCAGGTTCTCGACTTAGCAGTATTGGAACCCTGTGTATGTGGCCGACGGAAACTGTTCCCTGATCCTTCCGACCACACAGCATGGGAGCCTGACACGTCGGCGACGGCCCAGCCTGCCCCAAATCCACCATACAAACTCCTTGTAGGCCGTGAACCTATATTTTCTGAAAAAGGTACATGCCATGTAGCATTTCGGTAAAACTTGCTTTACCTGAACTATCAAGTTGAGACACTCGCGAACCAGCACCCTTTCATTTCAATAACAACGAGCAAGACTAGTTTATTTTCCCCACAACTTGTATCTTTGGGGTCTGTCAGTTGCTGCACTTCGGCAACTCAGTTTGCCACAAAGGGCTTCCGTCGGTTTGCCGCCCCCTTGACCCAGTACGTTGGCACTGTGGAGTCCGTCCAGAGCCGCGTGGAAGCACTTTTCAGGTGTAGAGCTCTCGTGATTTGTGGGATAGGTGCGCACCAATTACGGCTTCCATCATCTTGAGTCGGAGCAGCAAAAGGTATTTAAAGGGATACTGAAGCGAAACTTGAAATACACCTATTATGGTCAGAAATAGGTTCAATATGATCAATGATATTCATAAATCATAATCGCGCGTTTGTATTTTGAACGGATGGCTATATTTTTCACCCTGATGGGCCCGATTGGGCGCGCGCTCAAAAATCGGCCATCGGAGAGCGCGATGCGTCTTGGGATATTGGGCGCATTCGTGACGTCACTTGTGCCGGTCGGGAAAGGCTACGGCGTGAATGTTGTGGTTACGAGCGTTGCCACTTGGTGGCGCGTCGACGATTTACGACCTGTGACAACGTGGCCGTTTGAGATGTGCAAGGTCTGCACGCACGCTGCACCACGGGACCACGGCAAGTCGGCAACCACGGCGCACTGACAAAACCAGCTCTGAGGCCGGATTCTCAAAGAGAATTCACGACGAAAAAAGTGCGTACGACAAATTTGAGAGAAAACCCGTGCTCTCGAAACGAAATTGTCGTAATCTTTGCGCAGGTTACGACCGAATCCTACGACAGCTCCGAAGCTGTCTTACGCACTTTTTACGATCAAATCAACAAGGCCGACAGCGTCGCTCAGTTACTTGGTATCGGCCACCAACGGACATTTATTTTTCTTCGTGCTCTTCTCGTGCGTCCCGACTTCAACCAGCAAGAAAAAAGGAAGGAGTACTTAAAACAGACCACGATCAAGAACGCAGGATCCACAAACACACGAGAAGAGCTACAACAGCCACGATTCTGCCGACCGAGCGAGCTCGGCAGAATATATAGTAGGCCTAGCAGCAACATCGATTCGGCGCACCGTTGCTCCGGCGGTCCTTGGCCAAGACCGTCTGTCCATGACCGGCTGGCCTGCTGAATGGAATATGCCCGCGCGACCCTTGTGGACCCTTACCGGATGAGTAGTTTGATCCCTGAACTAAATTTCAGAGGTCAATATTTTCCCCTTGTCATCTCGATCTCCTTGTTTTCCGAGACGGCGGTGACGAACGCTGTCGTCGAAAAGGGACTCTCATTGATTCTGTCTCCTTGTTTTGTGTGATATAGAGCTCAAATAAACGCCATACGGATTACCTTGGCAACTCGGTATGTACACTCTGTTATTAGAATGCCATTTTTATTCTGACTCGACGTTACGTCAGTGTCGAGCTATAGCAGTTCGTGGGAGCTACGCGATGTCGGTCTAACCTTTCTTTGCCGAGTGTCATGTCAGTATCGAGTTGCAATCGTAAAAGATCGGTTCAGAAGCGCTTACCGAAACGCGGTCTAACAGAGCGAATCCAGCACTTCGATCAAACGCGCGTGTCCGCTCCGAGTGTGAACAGGTATTTGGCATTTGCGTGGCTCTTGCTGACACCCTCGTAGTTCAAACATATCCTTCTTAACGTCGGCTTGCAGCTCGCGACTCGCAGCAACTAATACCGGCCGTGCCAGAAGCATGCTCGGGCCGTGTCGTGCAAAGAGCCGCAACGAGAACGAGCTCACTGTGGCCAACTACGCTTCGGCTTTCTCCGCCAAGGCTTTGCGAACGCGTTCAGGCCTAGGCGAATTCTGCCGGCACGCCGTATTGCCGCAGAACGGCGCTGCTATTTTGGCACAAGTGATGTCACGAGAACTTCCCCCCATCCACCAGATGAGAATGTGAAATCGTTTAATTATGTTTAAAATTAGTTCTCCTGTGTTTTACAGCGCAATATTTATATTTCCGAGGTGGTGCCTGTCCCTAGCCCATATTTATGCAACAAGATCAGCGCTAAAATTTCGTTTCACTACCCCTTTAAGAGGGGCAACCCCGGATTTGGACATGAACAAGCTTGTGTTCACTTTCCCCGACTGAGTCTTTGTTGCCATGTATGGCACGGCGCTTTAGACTTTTGGACTTCGTCTTGTCGCTTTTAAAATCTCGGGTGATCACTCCGGGGACAAACACGTCTCCAATGCAGAGAAGCTCCGTGCACCAGTGCTCCCACACAGCCTGCAGAGACTCCGGCTGGGGGTCATCTCAATTGACTCCGAGCTCCCGCAATCCCTGAAACATTATCTTGACGATTGCTGTTGTAGGAGCCACACAAATCCAAACGGATCAAAGATTCTCGCCAACACTAAAAGCATGGACCTCTAGCTGTCCAGTCTTGATGACAAGAAATCGATGAGAGAGCTTATCATGTACTCAAACTGGTATGTCTGAGGATTCCAGGCCACTCCCAGGACCTTTCCGAGTCCCGAATGTCCAAGGTCGGCATCGGTGTGTTGGGTCTCTCCATCTTCTAACAAATCTACCAGTTCGAGGCCATTCGACATTCACTTGCAGGTCGCATATTCCGGCTTGATTCAAGATTTTCGCTGCCTCTTCATAGAGCCCCTCGCCTCCTGTCCACTATCAACACCAGTGACGGGGTCATCAATGTACAGTTGGCTCCGTATGGCGTCTGCCGTCTTTGTGAACTGCTCTAGCACGTTTTTGAGATGATGCTGTAATGTTGCAGATAGGAGAAAGGGGCTCGACGTCATGCTGAAGGACACGCGCATCGCCTGATATGACACAATTGGTTGAAGCTCTTCCCCGCATATCGGCATTCTCTCACACCGTAGGAACTGCACCACACTTCGATCGTTGTTCGAGAGAAACACTTGCAGGAAGGCTTTCTGAATGTCCGTGATGATCCCGATGTTCTGGGTGCGGAACTTGATGAGCAGGTCGATCAGCTCCAAATTCAAATTCTGCCCGCTTTCCAGAACTGTGTTCAGTGAGAAACGACCTCCAGCGCTTGACAATGCGTCAAATACAACCCTCAATCAGGTCGTTCTGCTTTCATGACGTACGACCACATGGGTGCGGCATGTAGTAGGCTCGACTGCTTGCAGAGCCGTTTCCTTTTTTACCTAGTTCGGCATAGCTCTTTTTTACATAGTCTCCGATGCAGGCATAATGATCCTTGACTATCTGCTCACTCTAGCAGGCAAGTGGTTCGCTATCTAAGATGCCTTACCGCATATCTAGGTTGTAAGTTCCTCGGCCGTTTGAAGCGACACTTCGTACTGACAGTCTTCGTACTTGATGATTTTGTTTCTGATGCTGAAGTATGGCTTCATAGTGAGAGGTTGTCGTTTGCTGTTCTTAGATTCCAAGGTGCCCCAGTGCCCAAACGAATCTGAGCTGAGCGGATATTTTTTTGTCGGTCTCCTCCCTCACGATGACCCCCATCACGCTCGTGGCCGACGAAGATTGTCGTAGACTTGGTTGTTCCGACCTGGCCCTGCGGGGTCCATTTGAATACCGTATCCACTGCCATCAGTTTGTGGCTCGGCACATCACGCTTCTGGTGACGACATCCCGGTAGTGATCGGCCCTGACCAGAAGTCCATTGTCATCCTCGACGGCTTTGCCAGGTAAGATGTCAATGATGTTCTTGCCCTCCATCTTCATCTGCGTCGTCACAACATCTGAGGGGGCCATCACAAGGTCAGCGCAGATGCAGGGCATTTCAGGAGCCTCCACCCGGACTTCTCTCCTGTCAAGCCGACTTCTAGCCAAAGCTCCACTTGGCGGCACATCACTTGATTGGCTGTTGCGTTTCCGTCGAAGGTGAAAATCCTGAGCTCCTCTTCACCCAGCACGGAGAGTTGCAGCCTCTCAGCTATGTCAAATCCGACAAACGTGCGCCGATTGCCACCATTCAAAAAGATGTCTGAGGAGCGTGCGCCCCTGACGACCTTCGGCCCACACATATGCCGTTTGCAGGAACACCTGGTTCTTGCTTGCTCCGATTGTGTTGTCTTGGATTCTGAGCGATGACGGACTGCAAAACTGCTCCTTCTGCCACCTCCTTCACCACCATGATGGTTGCGCTCCTTTCTGCTTGTGTACTGCGTAGTGTCACATTGGGATTGCACATAACAGTGACGTGTCATCCACCACACCGTACACAGCTCAGTCATCTAGTGCCTCTGCATTCTCGTGATAAGTGCCTTCTTTTCGTGAAATGGAAACTGTGTTGTCAGGGCCTCAGGAACTCAGGACTCAACCAGCGTCCGTTTAGAATCAGCCATTTAATCATCTGTCTCGAGCGCCCCTTCCTTTTCTTCATCGTCGTCTTTTCCGGCTCACGCCTCGCGATGACTATAGCTCCTAGCAGGCTAGCACATCTCCCCCTTTTAGCTAAGGGCTAAAGCGTACTATCGGTTTGACTACTCGGCCACTTCGGGTCACAACGTGATCGGAATGTGGGGTCCCATAGGTCGGCTCTGGTGTTCCTTCCGCAATCGCATCTCGCGGTGGAAGGTCAGGTGAATTGGGCACTGTCGGAATCGGGACGAGATGAGATCGGTTCCGACTGAGGTTCCCATCCTGTGTGTTGACGGAGTAGGACCTTGGAGTGTCCACCGACGACTGCACTATTCGAGATTTGCGTCGATCGGTTATCCACACTCTATCCTCAGGCATCAAAGGTTGAAGCCGGCGGACAGCGTGTTGTCGGTCATAGTTACGCTTCTGATTCATGATCCTACGTTCTTCCCAAAGATTGAGGGCTTCTTTATCTACCTGACTTGGCTGAAGAAGGGAGTCGGCCGTTGGTAGAGAAGTATGCAATCTCCGTCCCATCAACAACTCTGCTGGACTGAAGCCGTTACCCAACGGTGTCGAGCGGTAGGCTTGTAACGCGACGTAGCTGTCCCCAGTTTTCTTCAAACTACGTTTGATAATGCCAACAGCAACTTCCACGAAGCCATTACTTTGGGGGTAACGTGGGCTGGATGTTCTGTGTTCAAAACCCCAACTTTCGGCGAACTTCTGGAACTCCGACTCTTGTATTTTTCGGAATTGTGGTCCGT